AAAAAGTCAGGAGTATCCTGGAATATTTCCTCGAGGCCCATATCATGATGCCCTGCTGTCTCACTCTCTAAAACACCCCTTCTAACCCTCCACATCCTGACAAGACAGGAGGCCCCCGCCATCTGCCTGGACCATCATCAGAAACTCCCAACATGTCCCTTTGCTATCCCTACAATCTGTTCTTGGGCAGCAGCCTTCACCGGCTTCTTCTCCCTGAGTTAGGCTTCCTAGAGCAAGGGCAAGAAAAAGAATCTAAGCCATTTTATAGCCTTTTTTAGTTTCTCAAACCAGTCGAAAAAAAATGGAAAAGTCATAAACTGCTAATGGTCTTATTGTTAAGAATCTCTGAGAACCTGAATCCTCTGGGTGACTGAGATAATATCGTTTTTCTTATTAACGGAGGAACTAGCCCCAAAAATCCCTGTGACAGGCACTCTGACCTAGATAATTCTCTTACTGGTTCCCCAAACATGAGGGAGCAGACAGGAAGGATTAGGCTTCGAGCTGAGAAGGCAACAGAAAGTTACTTAATGAGCAGCTGGTTCTATGTCCACAGGGGCCAAGACAAGGAATAATGGGCAAGAAGAATTCAGTTCATATACTTCTGAGGCTCTTCAGAAAATCTTAGTTTGGAATACTGAAATAGGCTGTATAAATTGGCATTTATACCCTGACTCCACAGCAGCTTTTTTCCTCACCCTTGATTGCCTAGCAGTATAGATTTCCATCTCTTTTAAGACAGGGGTTGAGCTTTTCTCTTTTACAGGTATATTTATCACCTGTCTTTGGGGGCATTTTCCTTATTCATTCATAAAGGATCCAGTAAATAAAGGCATTAGCCCTCTATCATGCATTTTTTTTTTTTTACTTTGTGTCTGGAATTCATTCCAATCATAAAGTTTTGAGAGGGTGTTGTTTTGTTTTTTTTTAAGTTTTTTTTGGTAGTCAAATTTATTGATCTTTTTCTTTATGACTTCTGGGCTTCATGCCCTATTTGGAAAGGTTCTCTCCACTCTAAGCCCAAAAAATAGATGCATTGTGAGGACTTTTTAAAACAAAAATTTCAGCAGGGCACAGTGGTGCATGCCTGTAATTCTAGCCGCTACGGAGGAGGCTGAGGCAAGAGGATAGTGAGTTCAAAGCCAGCCTCAGCAATGGCGAGGCACTAAGCAACTCAGTGAGATCCTGTCTCTAAATAAAATACAAAAAAGGGCTGGGGATGTGGCTCAGTGTTTGAGTGTCCCTGAGTTCAATCCCTGGTACCCCCCCACCAAAAAAAAAAAAAATTAGAAAGTGAAAACAACGCTCTGGTAATACAAACAGCTACCAAAACCTGTTTAAAAATATGTCTCAGATTTGACTTCCATAGTTGTAATCACAGCAGCGAAGGGGACAGAGACATGGCTCAGCTGCCCAGTTCAAAGCTCCCCAGCTCTGAACTGCTTGAAGCGTACACACATATGCACACATTCCACAGATGTGGTCCTATCTATAGTTTTATGATACTGTGGAGACGGATAAAGATAGGATGCCAGAAAGATACGTGCTTAAGATGGTCACTTGAGGGGATGGCCAGTGCAGCAAAGGATCGCCAGCCAAGTGCAAGGGCTTTCACGAGAAAAATAGTACAAGTCCTTCATTTAGATCTTTTTGTATTAACACTCTACTTCCTTAAGAAAAAACTATTCTGTGATAGAGTGACCAAAAAAAAAAAAAAAAACAGATCACTTTTTCAAAGTCGACGTAAAATAGCACAGCTACACTTTGCCAAAGAATGGAGCTTGTACATCTGTGTGAATGTGTTGGTGTGAATGTGTGTGGTGTGTGTGTGTGTGTGTGTGTGTGTGTTCTTATCTAGGTGCAGGAAGAGTTCAACTGTGGCAGATGTAGGGACTTTAAAAACTAGTATAATGCACATCTACTGGTTTCCTTATGACACTCTAACACTGCCTAACAAATTTGATGGAGTCGGTTTTTAAAAGTAGATTCTTATTGTGCGTGTAAAAAGTGAAAGAGCATTTGTGACTTATATTTTTCATGCAATTATACACTAAATAATTTAAAAATCTACTAGTAATAAATGAAGTTTACAGAATCAAAGTAACTTGCTATAGAGTAATTCTCAGTTCTAGACTCTGTGACCACAGCCACACCACAAGGCAACCAGTCTAAGTGCAGAATTCTGGGCCCCATTCTTAGACCTCCTAACACAGCCTCCCTGTCAAGGGCCAGATATGAGCATTTAAAAAAATAATATATATATTATTTTTTTAAATGCTCATATCTAGTCCTAATATATATATTAGTTGTAGTTGGATAAAATGCCTTTATTTTATTTATTTTTATGTGGTGCTGAGGATTGAACCCAGTGCCTCGCATGTACTAGATGAGAGCTCTACCACTGAACCACAACCCCCAGCCCCTAGATATGAGCATTTTTAAAGTTCCACCACTGATGCAGGTTTGGGGCACTGCCCTAGGAAATGCAAACCAGTCTTATATAAGTAGACTCCCATTGTTAGGTAGCACTTAATAATCAGCAGTGGAACACAAAACCAATAACAAAGCAGGGTCATGGGTTTCTTTGAATTGCCTTTAATGAATAATTGAGTAACCTGTAGAAAAAAAACACAGGTGTACTAACCCTAAGGATAAATAGGTGGAAACAAACAGAATCAATGAAGAAATACATCAAGGAGGAAAGATCTACTGGAATCACTGTATACTTAAGATTTATGGCTGTAAGTTTCTTAATGTATTTCAGAAGGAAGATTAGTAGTGCTGAACAAGGACAAAGTTTATTGGGTCACTGGCCCCAGCACCTGCATTTACATAGAATTCAGGTATAGAAAACACCCATCATCACCATGGGATGGTCACCATGATGATTCCAGAAAGGACCATCTAGGGTCAAAAATTCCCCTACCTGGGGATGATAATACCAAAGATAGTAGAATGAATCAGACATAACTTTCCTATGCTCATATATGCATATATGACTAGTGTTACTGCGCATCATGTACAACCACAAGAATGAGAAGTTATACTCCATGCATGTATTAAATGTCAAAATACATTCTACTGTCATGTATAACTAAAAATAAATAAAATAAAAGAAGAAAAAAATCCCCCAACCAATGTGACAGAGGACTTAAAACATCAGATTAGTAAAGACTGCAGAAGATAGACCCCAGTTCTCACAGCAAACATAAAACAGTGATAAATTTAAAAGTGGCATTAACTTTCCTTTGTCTTTGTCTGCTCAGAGACAGCCCACCCTCTTTCTCTCCTGAGAGCGTTCTTTGCTGTCACTTATGATGAAAATTCTCTTCCTTGGCTTTTTATGTCTGACCTTAAATTTTCTTTTGTTAGGACATAAGAACCAAGGCTTGGAGCCTTGCTGCCCATGCTCCTGTGACATCATTCTGTAAAACAGTACCTTGCACACTGACTTTCACCTCGGTCCATGTATTGAGAGGAGACTGAGGATCATCCTCTGAAGATCACAAATTCCACTGTGTCCCTGATGACAAGTCATGTCATGATCTTAAAATGTTCACTTTAGGGATGCTGAAGACTTCACCCAATACCTAAACTTCCTTACAAGAGTGACTTAGATTGTGGGGATTTTGTTCATGTACTCATGACAATAAAAGAGAACTGACTCCTTCTTTGGCTTAGAGAAGGCCTACATGAAAAGCTGAGTCTTTCTGATACTAAGGTGAAATAAAAGACAAGGTATACTCCTGCTGCTTGGCAAGCAGATGATTAACCTAGGATATACAGGAACTACAAAAACCAAATAAAATAATCATATCTTTAAAGGTCAAGGTAACATTAATTTGTGCTGAATCAAGAATGCCAGCATGAAATTGAACAAAAATGGCTCAGGTCTCATTATGTAGCCACTAGAAAAATAGAGACAAACTATAATCTCCATTAATTGGTAGGAGGCATCACAAGGTGGCTCTGCCAGCTCCAGCCATGCAGTCCATTGAGCTCATTGCTGTGCTAAGAATTCAGGATGTTATGGGGTAAAATGTTTAAGAGTTTTTAAGCCTCTCTAATGTAATTTTCAACAAGAAGAATTTGTGGTAGTTCCAGTACCCACAGTCTAATTCTAGCCAGATGCTTTTCCCAATTTTTAAATTTATTTTTAGCCGACCACATGGCTTCAGTGGAAACTGAAAACTATAGTCAGACACAGTTTTCATCACATACACAGTGTGAAAATAGTAACACTTGGTGTGTTTCTGTGTAGATTTTTTTTTTAGGAAAGCCATAAAATGCACTGTGAAATAATGTAGTTTAAATATGCTGACGTTACTATCCAGAGTCTCTCCCAGGAAGTCAGAAAGATCAAGATAAGCAACACAATCAGCTACCATCATCTAAATACACTGCAGCATCTTGTTCAGCATCTTTTATTCAGAGACTTTCAAGTGTTCTATATAGAATCAATGGTCAATGGCACAGCATAAGTGGCTTGAACTGCATTTTTATGAATTGTCATAAGAACTGACCAAAGCTGAGAAATGTTTAAATTCTCTTTTCACTCAATATCTCCACCTCTCTCTCTCTCTCTCTCTCTCTCTCTCTCTCTCACACACACACACACACACACACACACACACACACACCCTCTGACTCAGAAGGGAATTAACAAGCTTTGGTTTTGTTTTGCTTGTGAGCAAATGGGTGAAACCAATCATGACAGCTCAGTTATCCCATCCATCATATAAGAAGTGTTAAATGACCCGGAAGCTCAAACTTCAAGGCTTCACAATCAATTTACTTTCTCTTACCCTGGAAGGAAATCTTCCTCTTCTACAATGGGAAATATGGAGGGGGCATCCCTGCCAATGCAGAATCTGCATGTGAAGACTTTCCAGAGCCTTTTTGTTATGCACTAAAGTCACCCTCCAAAATCAGTCCCCCCAAATCAAAAACAACCTGAGGCAAAGAGTATATTAGGAAGAATTGAACTAAGATCAACTTACTGGAGATGTAGTTAACCGAAGGATAGTGCCATTCTTTATTTCATTGCGATTCTGGAAAAGAAAAAAAAAAGACAGCCTTGGTCAATGTTCAAATAGAAGCTCAGTGAAGAAGAAACAAAGCCAGGTCTAAGGTTGTGGCTCAGTGATAGAGCGCTTGCCTAGCATGTGTGAGGCACTGGCTTCGATTATCAGTGCCACATATAACTGAGTAAAATACAGGTCCATCAAAAACTAAAATATAGAAGAAGAAGGAGGAGGAGGAGGAGGAGGAGAAGTAAAGCCAAATATAGCCTAGTATCCACACTAGATAATAAATTGAGTGTAATTATTTATTTATTTTTTTTTTGAGGGGGAGACAAGCATAGTGTACTGGGATTGAACCTAGGGATGCTTAACAACTGAGCCACATCACAAGCCCTTTTTTTTTTTTTTTTTATTTTGGAATAGGGTCTCACTAAGTTACTTTAGGACCTTGCTAAGTTGCTGAGACTGGCTTTGAACTTTTTGATCTTTGTGTCTCAGCCTCCTGAGCCACTGGGATTATAAGCATGTGTCACCATGCCCAGCAATAATAAGCATTTTTTTATTCACTTTATTCTCACTTCAATAATTTTTAATTATTTTTAAAAAGAATTTTAACCAGGGTTCCAGATGTGTTGACTTTATATCAAGTCACAGATAATGTTCAGCACAGGGTAAGTGACCTAAAGAACAGGAATAAGGGACCCAAGAACAGCAAACAAAAAAGAAATAATTTTAAAGTTTCTTCAGGGAATATGATCTAGCAATTCTACTCCTATATCTATATTTGAAAATTCTGAAAACACATATCCACACAAAAACTTGTATGCTAATGTTCATAGAAACACTATTCACACTAGGCCATATGTGGAAACAAACCACATGTCCAACAACTGGTGAACAGATAAATAAAAGTGGTCTATTGAGTCAATGGGAAATTATTAGGTCATGAAGAGAAATGAAGTATTGATATAGGCTATAACATGGATGAACCTTGAAAACAATAAACGTAAGAAGCCAGACACAAAAGGACACATTTCATATGATTTCATTTATAGAAAATGTCCAGAACAGGCAAATCTATAGAAACAGGAAGCAGATTATAGATGCCAGGGAATAGGGGAGAGGAATCTCAGAGGGTCACTGCTAATGGGTATAGAGTTTCTTTCCGGGGTGATGAAAATGTTCTACTATTAATTGTAGTGATAGCTGTACAACTCCATGAATATACTAAAAACTACCAAATTAAACAACTTTAAAAAGTGCCATTTGACCCAGTTATCTCACTCCTCGGTTTATACCCAAAGGACTTAAAATCAGTATATTACAATGACGCAGCCACATCAATATTTACAGCCAGTCAATTCACAATAACTAAGCTATGGAACAAACCTAGGTACCCTTCAACAGATGAATGGATAAAGACAATGTGAGATACACACACACACACACACAATGGAATATTACTCAGCCTTAAAGAAAAATGAAATTATGGCATTTGCAGGTAAATGGATGGAACTGGAGACTATCATGCTAAACAATATAAGCCAATCCCCCCAAAACAAAGGCCCAGTGTTTTCTCTGATGTGCACATGCTAACTCACAATAAGGGCAGAAGAGCTAGGGAAGAATAGAGTTACCTTAGATTAGGTAGAGGGGAGTGAATGGAAGAGGGGGGTCTGAGGATAGGAAGAACGGTAGAATGAATCAGACATTATTACCCTATGTACATATATGACTACACAAATGGTGGGGTTCTACATCATAAACAACCAGAAAAATGAGAAATTATACTCCATTTATGCATGATGTATCATAGAGCATTCTACAGTCATGTATAACTAGTTAAAACAAATTTTAAAAAAGAAAAAAAAAGTGCAATTTGGTACATTAAGTATATCTCAATAAAGCTGTTAAGTTTTTAAAGTTTAGAAGCCCTGTTTGTTAACATTTGCTGGTTCCTTCTGCATGTGGAGCAGATCCCAAGTCAGTCTGCCTGCACTTGGCAAGTAAATCGAGGTGTGCATGTTGAAGCCAGGACTCTGCATCTTCGGCACCAAAACAGAATTACACTGGCAGTTTCATGTCCTTCCACCAGAGTCCTCCCCATGCTCAACTCCAGGAGGTGGCCTGCCAGGACCCAACCTGGCTGCATCCCCCACAAGAAGCCCTGAGGCCAGGAGGTGCACAGAGGACCTTGAGGATGCTCTCCTGCATCAAGAAAAGACACACGCTGGAATTCGCTCAGGAAGCAGCAGATACAGAAGGTGGTGGCAAATTACTTGAGATGTCAAAGGTATCCCTTGCTTCCTCTGCCAATTCTGACTACTTACAACAAATTTTTACTTTCTTCACTGGGAATAGAACCCCAGGGGTGCTCTACCACTGAGTTCCATCCCCAGCCTTTATCATTGTTTATACTGAGACAGAAGCCCTCTGAATTTCTGAGGCTGGCCTTGAACTTGCAATCCTCCTCCTCAAGCTTCCAAGTACCTGGGACTACAGGCATGAGCTACAGTGTCCAGGTGGATAATGAATTTTCTAAAATGAACTATCTGAAAGGGGGCAGCCTTCAGGCCAGTCATCCCTCCCAAAGAAAACCGCATCTGAAGGTTTCACACTAAGTGCAGGCGGGACTGAAACCCAACCCTGCTGAGTGAAACTCCTATGGGAACTGCAATCTAAGGCATCCCTGACACAATGGGCTACCTCTGAGTGAGCTTGCACCTAATAACCTCAAGTGTGCTGAATGGTCACTAGGCAGGGGGGCTCAGGATGGCAAAATAAATTCAGGTCATTTGTAAAATCCCTTCCACTCTAAAATTCTATGACTCTAATAAGAGAACTGAAGAGGATGGCAAACACTAATTAAGGAAAATTAGGGAAGCTGAACACATCACATACCTCTTCCTTGCTCAGCTTCTAAACAAACAGAAATTCAGGAGCCAGAAGCCAGAGAACTAAAACAGCCTCTTGATTAGTGATTACAGAGAGCAAGCCTGGGAACGTGCAGACTAGCAAAATGAACCCTCAGGTGTGCTTCACCTGGTAAGTCAAGGCAAGTTCCTTCCCAAGGAGAGAAGGAAAAAGTGTATTCTTCCCTAATTTTCTAAACAAGTAGTGAAAGAGGCCAGGAGATAATTTAGAGATCATCTCTTGTCATGAAAATCTGGAGTAGTGGGTGAAGCATCCCTGATAACAGCATTAAACTAATCATTTCTTGAAAGGCACCAGGCTGAGGGTTTTTGTTTTTAGTGCTTATTTAACCACCAAAATAGCTCTTAGACCCATTTTAAAGACCCAAAACCAAAGCTGCTAAGTAATTTATTTGTCCAACATCATGGACAAGACCAAAAGCCCAGGTCACCAGAAGCTGTGCTCTATCTACCTAGAGAAGAAAAAAAGATTCAGATATTGTATCCTTACTGGGTAATAGTCAGTTAATGTTCTTGAAAGGGAAGAGGGAAGAATGCAGTTAATTCATGCTCTGCAGATTCCTAGGGCTTGCCTGCCAAGTCCAGGAGTATATACAGGGTCCTGGGAAGGAGTAGGACAAGGGTGGAATTAAGCAGGTACATTCAGGCACTCCTGCTTTCTGGAACCCAAGTAAGACTGCTTTGAAGAAAGGACCTTAAAGATTATTTGTTTGTTTAAAATCAAAGCAGGATATTTATATTAAAGGAATGCAGGAGGCATTAAACAAGATACAATAAAAAGCTCGTAACTCTCATATATCTGGGTTACCAAGACAAAAGCAGAGATGACTGCAATCTAAATGCAAAGGTATGTGACCACTGAAACTTCACTGGAGTTCTCTTTGAAATGGCTAATTGAATTCTTTGGGGGTGATTCAGTTTTTAAATGCCTATGGCACTATTTCTACATTTGTGTCATACTTGTTTCATATTATTTTGTTTCCCATACTGACTTAAAATCTTTTAAAAAGTCAGGGATTCCCACAATGCATTCCTCTGGGTGCATATCACCTCCATAATAATGCTTTAGTAGTTATAATCAGTCCTAATAAACAAGCCTAAATTCCAAAAAATAATAAAATAAAATCAGGCCAAGCATGTTGGCATTCACCTGTCATCCCAGCAAATTCGGAAGCTGAGGCAGGAGGATTTTAAGTTTGAAGCCAGCCTCAGCAATTTAGTGAGACCCTCAGCAATTTAGCAAGACCCTGTCTCAAAATAAAACATAAAAAGGGCCAGGGATGTAGCTCTGTGGTAAAGCACCCCAGGTTCAATCCCAAGTACCAAAATTCATAAAAATAGATAAAATCAAAGCATATTAAAAGCACTGATTGCTAGAGCTTCCTGCCTTGAAGCAGCTGGGCAGACTCAGTGCAAGCTACTTAACTGACCTGACCTAATGTTTCCTCCTCCCTAAACTGGGGTGAACAATTCATTCTTTGGAGAGTGTAGTAGGAACAAGAGGTGCCATATGTGCTGGGCCTGTCCTGGGAAGGTTGAAGAGTGACATCTGCTTTTCCAGGGGGTGGGGCTCTCCTCCTCTGGCTGGGCCTTCTCAGTCAGCAGTCCATTCACCTTCTCTTCCTTCCTCTCCCCCATTTTGAAATCAGTGTTTTGTATTCTGGAATAAAAGGAGATTTGCAGAAGAGCTATCTTTTTATCTCATATTTTTATTTAGAAATAGCTAAGCTTCAGGTCCCACGAGAATGTAGACAAACTCAGAAAGGCAATGGTGGACTCTGCTTTGGAGACTAAGCCCTAGTGGTAAGTAGAGGGGATGGAACCTCTCTGTGTGTGGATGACACCATTCGCTCTGTAATGAAGAATATCAACTGTTTTTACTGCAAGATTCTTTTAATCCCTCATCTCAAATTCCCTACCTGGGAATGCAAACCTTTTTAACCAAGGAAAAATCTCCCTGATGCTGTAATTTCATAAATTCTACCCAACCAGCCCAGAGCATGCCTAAGAGTGATGTGACTGACAGGATTGGACAAAAAAGTCACTTTTATATGGAGACCTGGTACAGGTGGCATGGCTCCCCTCTGGCCCAGC